CAACAGCGCCAATTTTAAAAAACAACGCATGCGTTAAAATTGTTGAAACAACCGCAGAACAACCATACGAAAAACACAAAAAAGTTGCCGAAAAAATTGGCAATGTTGGCGGTACAAGTGGTGTAACAAAGTCGAAAATAATAACAAATCCGACAACGCATGGCAATTCTTTGAGCACGAAGCCGCTAGAACTAAATTTTGATTTTGACTTAAATTTGGACGTTAAAAATTTAACGGAAATTCAAACGCAAAACCTTTTAAAAATCAAAGAATTACTGCAAGAAAATGCAGATTCTACAAAAATTGTAAAAAAAACGAACAAATCGAGTATTGCAACAATACCAACACAGCTTGCAACAACAACTGCAGTAGGCAAAGTAGCAGCAACAGGTTCAGAAGCATCTGCAACAAATAAAACAAATTCAAAAGCAATTACCAAAACTATAACAAATAGCCCAACATTGACAACAATAGTAATTGATAATGATAAAGTAAACAATAAAAAAAATGCCAAAATTAATAGCAACAGTAATGTTGCAGCCAATACCACCACCACCCCCGTTACAACACGTACTAGCAACGTTATTGATAAAAAGGCAAATAATTTTGCCAAAAAGAGCAACGGCAGCGCAGTCGCGACAAAAGTAGCATCTACAAAATTAATGCCACCATCAACATTAACGTCAACATCAACAGCATCAGCATCAGCAGTGTCATCAACATTAGCATCAGAATTAGCATTAGCACAAGTAACACCAGCGGCAGCAGCGGCCGCAGCAGTGCCATCATCATCTAAAACAACAACGTCACCAACAGCAACTGATAATAAGAAGCTACAGCGAGATCAACAGCAACAGCAAATTAGTACTAAAACAAAAGGGGACGATAAAACAACGAAAAGTACTAATAAATTAATTAAATCGGTAACAGCTAAATCAGTAGCAATTGCGGAAAATAATAAAAATATCAATAATAGTAACACAAAAATAATAAATTGTAGTAAAGGAATAGCAGTATCAGGAACAGGATCAGCATCAGCAACAGCAACAGCAACAGCGATCCATAAAACAGAAAAGGATAACAAAATCAGTGTTGCCAATTTACTTGAAACGGAAAACGTAATGGACGTAGCGCGTGCAAATATGCCAGCACCAACAAAAGCAAAAACGACAACAAGATCATTAACAAATGGTTTGGATAAAAATTGTAAATAAAAATTAAATATTTTATATGTGTTTAAATGCCAATTAAATATTATTTAAATATGTGTATATATATATATGTATGAAATAAATAGCAGGACGTCCTATACTGACGCGTGGTTCCGTCGCAGAGCGTGTTTTAATGTTCGAAAAATGTCCTGATGTGCGGAATATGAACTTAAATATAAAACGTCCAAATCCAGCAGACACATCGCCTAAACTGTTGGTGAAGGTGAGTTATGCTTCTTTTCCTCAAAGTAGAATATTATTATTATTTATTTTATTACTTTTAACTAAAAAAAAAAAACACTTGTAATTTGAAAAATAATTATTTCAGGTAACATTCACATATTTACGAGTGTCTAACTCCACATACAGTATAAATAGTACAGTAAAATATTAAAAATAGGAAATTAAATAGAACTAAAAAACGTAGCCTCAAAAAAAAAATTTTTTTTCAACTTGTTATCTAATAGCACATGAGGAAAAAAACTTTGCAACTATAGCAAAATAGCAACTACGAATATAAAAAACAAATTGTAATATAAAATAAAATTAAACTCTAGAAGAGCACAAATCGTTGATCGATTTTAGGTTGCTCCAACAATAACAACAATAACAACAATAACAACAATTTTTCTAGCAATTGCCAAACCATTTCATTTGATAGAAAATTCTTTTTATTTGTTAGAATATCATTGATTTGCAGTTCTGTACGAAACAGTTTAAAACATATTCACATGATAAATGTTTTTCTAATATTTGTATAACATGATTAAGCACTCGTATAAATACATTGCAGTTAGTATTTCTTTTTAATTTCTTAGTTCATGTCATACCGCTAAATGTATTTATTTACCCCTCACGTGCTTTAAGGCGGTTAAATTTAATAAAATTAGAAATTTAAAAATAATTTAGACAGCTACATACATAATGCTACACGTTTAATCCAAAGAATATTATTTTTAATAAATTATTAATAACACTCATACGCAGTTGGGTACCAATTGGGCATCATTTAAGCGTTATTTATTTAATTTTAATTATTTTATCTTTAAGAGTGCAGTGAAGTTTGATATATAATAATTTAACTCTAAGGGTATATTGAATTAGCAATTATACTAATTAATGGAATGCTAATTTCTGTTTTTGTTAAATAACTAATAATAGTCAAGCGCATATTTCTTTGGGATTCTGTTAATCGTTAGTGACAGGCCTTTGTCCAAAAATTTATTTCCACGTGGGTTTTTTCATTAAAAGCCGACAAATTTTAGAAGTATTCTTCTAGATCTTTTTGTAAAGTAATTATCATTATTTTTTTAATATTTTCATAAAAGAAAACTTAGTCAAATTTAGTCAAAATTATAGGGAAATATTTAATTGCTCGATAATAAGTTCTATCACAGCATTTGAATAAGAGTACATTTTAATATTTCAATCGTAAATATTCCTTCACACTATAGTGTACATTCGGCCGCAACGGTAGATAATGAAATTATATAATCAAAATAAGTATATCAATAGAATGTCCAATTAATTACTTTCTAGAATCTTCCATAAGTAACAAAAAAAAAATTTTTAAAGAAGTATATGTATTAAATCATAATTATAAGAAAAGATGAATGGGTGATTAATGGGTTTTGCTGATTGCACGAACTGCAATGTTATCCTTAAAATTTATAGTTAAACTACGAATATATATTCAGTAAATCGTGATGCACATTAATAAATGTTTTAGAAAACCATATCTGCAGTCCAATTAATTACTTTTTAGAATCTACCAAAATTAACAAAAAAAATTTTTTTTTAAAGAAGTATTTGTATTAAATCATAATTATAAGAAAAGATGAATGGGTGATTAATGGATTTTGCTGATAGAAAACCATATCTGCAGTTTTTATAAATTTTGTAGATGAATTTCAACACCTTCTCAATGTAGTATCAAGATTTAGTTTTACAAATAATAAAGTTGGTACAAAAATAATTTTTTTGATAACCTAGTAAGATATTTAATACTATTTAGGAGTTTTTTTAAGAGTTTTTTCTAAGCTGATTACAATGTTTTTCGATGAACAATTCATGTATTACATGCATGCATTGCTTTACATCAACGCATAAAGGAGCATAGAGCTTCCAAAGAATTTTTCTCTCGAATCCTTCTAACGCCTTCTCATCACTATTGGTAATTGTTCAAACTACTGTACCATACAGCAGGACAGGCATGATAAGAGATTTGTAGAATGTGATTTTTGTTTGTAGAGAGAGGGCTTTATTTCTCAATTGCCTACTTAGCCCGAAGTAACATCTGTTGGCAAGAATGATTTTTCATTAAATCTCTAGGCTGACATCATTTTTGGTGTTTAAACTGGTTCCTAAATAAACAAAGTCTTGCACAACTTCGAACTTATATGTAATTGTCAACAGTGACGTGGATCCCAAGATGCTCTGCAGATTTGTTTGCTGACAGAAAATATTTTTTTTACTACTCAGTTACCACAAAACTAATTTGCTTCATTTGTTTTTCTAAGTTAAAAAATGCGGCACTGACGACGCAGATGATCAGGCGAATGATATCAATATCATATTACACTTTTGTAGAATATTGTGCCAGAGTGGTTTAAATCTGTTGCTCGGATTATCGTTTTCTACTAGTGGTGTTGCTCTAAGTCCACCAAGACTTCCTTTAAGACTTTTAATGGATATCAATCCATTAGTCACACGACAAGGAGTCACCCTCTATGAAATCTCGTTTGGTATCAAACGGTTCGCAAAGATTTTTCCCGATTTGAACGAAGCTGGTGGTGTTGCTCTACGTCCACCAGTGATCCCTCTAAGCATTCTTTGGATATCAATCACCAGATTACAATTTTGATTTTTGCAGGAATTAATTCCGGGTTTATAACCATTTGATAGAATTTTCGAGTTAGTTTTTTGTCGCCCATCTTCTCAAGCTATTCGTCCTCACGTCTTTCTGCTTCTTTCTTTTTTGCCTGAAAAAATCTCTTTTCTTCCCTTCTCGTTTGTCTGACCACAGGGTGGCTTGATATGTTGCGTCTTTCTCTGCGGCAGTGTCATGACACTGTTCTTTGTCTACGATGATAGCCAATCACTTCTTCTGCAGCGGTATGCATAGAGTCGCAAATGAGGTTCTATTGTGCACATACATCGGTTTCTTCAGATTCATTTTCGAGGTCTAGTTTTCGCTGTGATTCTTCACGTACATTTTTAATCGCACATAAACGTGTGCGAATCTTGGCTGCAACAAGGTAATGATCCGAGTCGATATTGGATCCTCGGATAGTACGTATTTCTAAGGCACTGGAAGTATGCCCTCCGGCTATCACAACGTGAAATCAAGTGAAGATCTTGTGTTTTAATTAGGTGACAGCCATGTTGCCTTATATGTGTTGAGATCTGGAATCTGGTATGCATACTACCATGTTTCTAGATGCGTTGAAATCAATCAGCCTTCTTCTATTATCAGAAATTTTTGTATGACGGCTTGAGTCACGTCAGTATATAGCACTAAAGATACCTTCTTTACCCTCTGCGTTAAAGTCTCCTATAAGGATTTGGATATCATGATGAGAATAGTGTTCATATGGTGTTCAAGTTGTTCATAAAAAGTTTCCTTGGTGTCGTCAATTTTATCTTCCGTCGGGGAGGGTGTACAAATTAGGGTCATGTAAAAAAATTTTGCTCTAATACAGATTTTAGCAAGCCTCCAACTCCGAATTCGTGCTTTGTTGCATGGCAGCTGTAGTAGATGTCACAATGTTCTCGTTTAAGCATCCTTGTTCTGGCTACTGTATTTCCTGGAGGGCAGTAATGTGAGCCTTATATTTCTTGAGATCAATAATCTAACTCTCTGTAAAGAGTTCGGGCATTCTAGGTGCATTTTCTTAAATCATGTTCGTTATATCGTTTACGTTTGTTGTCAATAGTAAACGGTTTCCTTATCTCAGATTGACTTTTTGTTTTCATTGGAATGGTGTTTTTCTATGGTAGGTGCAAGCCCGACGTATAACCTCATATATCTATGAGGAGGATTTTGCTGCACACATTAGTTCACAATGCACGGATAATTGTAGCTATCCAGAAGGGGACACGTAGAGACTGTGTGTCAACTTGGAGATTTCTCTTCAAGAAAGAATCGCGCTGGCAATTAACAAGGTAATTGCAATCGGACACTTTGCCTTGCATGTTCACATCTTTCTCAAATAGACAGTTACGCAGTTGAATAATAATTATTTTAAATATGCAACAAAACAAACAATAAAAAATAAGATATAATAATTGGCGACGAAGATAAAGGAAAGAAATATTTCAAAATGGACGGCACTCAATTTGCGCAACGATTGGAGTCATTCAATAAAAATCAAAATAAGCTGATTCAAAAATGAAATGCTAGCCAAGCGGCAGCTCGAGATATCCCGTACACGCTAAAAGAAAAGTTTAATCAAAAACTAGAAGCCTTTGAAAAAGAAGGCATTATAAGCAAAATCGATGCAAATGATTGGGGTTCACCACTGGTAGTAATACCAAAGCCAGACTGAAGTGTAAGGCATTATAAGCAAAATCGATGCAAATGATTGGGGTTCACCACTGGTACTAATACCAAAGCCAGACGGAAGTGTAAGGTTGTGTATCGATTACAAGATAAATGTTAATCCAACTCTCCGTTTTTCAAATTACCCGATTCGTAAAATAAACTATATATTAAATAGTTTAAAAGGTTCAAAATAGTTTTTGCAGATTGGATTTGTTCAAAGCGTATCTACATCTAAGAGTGAGCAAGGAATCGAGTGAAATACAAACGATTTCGACGCAAAAAGAAACATTTTGGATGAATAGGTCAACCATATTTATTCTTGAAGAGTGTTAACATAAATTATTAAATTGTTCAAGTAAATCGCAACAATACGATTTAAACTTAAATTTAAGTAAATGTCAATTTTTCAAAACTGTGATCCAGTTCTTGAATTATGAAATACAACATGATAATACAACTTTCTCAAAATCATCCCAGAAAGCAGAAGCTATAAATAAAATAGAGCATCCAAGAAATGCTGACGACGTAAAAAGATTTTTGGGAATGTTGTCACACTATTTTAGATTTATTCCAAATCTTTCGACAGAAACATATCCTCTGCGGAAAATTCAAAAGAATCAAAAGTTTTGTTGGTAAAAGAGCATTTACAAGACTCAAAACGTATAATTTATAATAATTTG